AAAAAATGAGAGAGAGAGAGAGAGAGAGAGAGAGAGAGACAGAGAGAGAGAGAGAGAGAGAGAGAGACAGAGAGAGAACCACTCAAGGCCCAAGGCTCCTGCTCCTTCTCTGGCCACTGTTCAGGTGTCTTCCAGCAATTACTCCCACGATAAGCACCCAGCTTTGCACTTAGCCTCCCGAATGCTGGAAAGCAGGCCAGGACAGCATCCACTACGCTGCCATAGTGGCCGCAGTCCCACCCGGTAGAATTCCACAGCACAAATCAAGCACAGGTACTTGCCTTGCCTAAGTTATTATGTTCTACGGCGATTTCTCGGAAGAAGAAATAGACGTAGTTTCCATACTCTATGCCATGAAGGAAGTGTGGCTCTGAAAGAAAAATTGGAAACTAGTTCTTAAAGGATAACGCAGTTGGCCTCCTAAGACCCTGACTGAGAGGGATGATGACAGACAGAGGTTGTGTAGTTACAGTCAAGGTGGAGGCGTCTAGGGGTCCTAGATATGGGTGAGTTCAGGCTTCAGGGAGGCTAGCTTCTTCACAGCCAGCTAATGGACTATAAAAAGGCCTACACAGAACTGGACTATGCGGAAGGTCTTTGCTTCAACAGATTTACTCATTAACCTATATAACTAGGGAGGAAAAACTCTTATACTGAAAATAAAATGACTCCTGAGTCCTAGAATCTAAAGATAAAAAATGCCTGTGTGCAGGTGTGGGCTAATCTGTCCTCACGGTTAACTCTCCATGGCAGGTGGATGGACGCAGGCAGGGCATCATAGGTTCATTCAGTGAGGACCTGGCAGATAAAGGCAAGGCCTGTCTTTGGGTTTGTGTGGGTGCATAAGCATGTATGAGTGTGTGTGTGCAGGCGTCTGTGTGTGTGCACAGGTGTGTGTGCATGGGTGTTTGTGTGTGTGTGCACCCGTATGTGTGTGCAAGTGTCTGTGTATGCACAGGCATGTGTGTGCATGTATGAGTGTATGCACAGCTGTGTGTGTGCAGAGGTACATGTGTGCACAGGTGTGGGTATGCAGGTATCTGCGTGTGCAGAGATGTATGTGCACAAGCATATGTGTGCATGTATGAGTGTGGGCACAGGTGTATGTGTGTGTGCAAGTGTCTGTACATGCACAGGGGTGTGTGTGTGCACAGGTATATGTGTGTGCACAGGAGCGTGTGTGCATAGGTGTGTGTGAGTGTACTGCAGGTCACCCTGGATAGCTGTCTGGATGAACTTACTTTCCTAATGGCCTACCTCACCTCCTCTTTCCCCAGCAAGGCCCCCACTCACAACCTCAGTGACGTGTGCTCACTGAGGCATACAACAAAGTCACATGCACAGCCTCCTAGGGCCTGGGCCTCGCTCCCCAGGGACCACAGGACATCGCCACTCTCCCAGGGTACCTTTTATCCACTTGGAATCGTATCTGATTGTGCGAAGGGCAGATCCGTCTCCCATGCTTCGGTAAATGACATGATCGCTGGACAAGAAGTCAGCCACCGTGGCAGAGTACAGCTTTCCGTCTGCAACCAAGGCTCCCATTGGTCAGTCACCATAATTACCCTGCAGGGCTCAGCCTAAGCAGCGTGTCATGGCCTCTGTGTCCTGTGCACCTGTGTGACTGGGACCCACATGGATAACCCCACATCTGACGCTCACTCTCAACCCCGAGCAGGCTGGCGCATGGCGCCACCTAATTTTACAGATGAGGGATCTAAGTGTCCAAAGCTAACCAACTTGCTCAGGGTCATCAGCTTAGTTAACAGAACCACGTGTCGGAAGCTTGTCACAGTCACTGCAATCACTTGCTCTCCACTTTGTCTTTTTAATAAAATTGTTTGTAGATTTTAGCCTTTGAAAAGCCTGCCCCAAGAGGCCTTTCCCACTCGTGAGCCTTTCTCTTTCCTGCACATTCTTTCTGAACCTTCATGCGTTACTCCTGTATGTTCATTGTTCTAAAGGTCCTCACCAGCAAAGAGGGCAACGTTGGTCTGCCGAGGATCAAACGGGCATCTCGCCAGGCCACTGATTTCTTCCCCGTCATACTCTAAGGTATTCAGCTACAACAGAAAAATAAATAGATGAAGTCACATCTGTTCAAGGGATCCGATGGAAGGCAATATTGCTTTATTTGTATCGAAATTCTATTTGAAGCATTCCATTTTTATTCTTTTATAGCATAAGAGATAAAACAAATCACTGAGCTCTAGCAGCAAGGATTCAGCTCGAACAGCATACCAGGGAAGGCAAAAAAAAAAAAAAAAAGGCCAGTCGAAAAAGCAAAGTGTAGACGTCTGCTCACCCTGTAGTATCTGCACATCGGATTGAATGCATTGGTGCCGCAAACAAAAACCACCTCATCATTTCTGGGCACAAATACTTTGATGAAGTTGTGGCATTCGTCCTAAAGAAAACACCCATCAGGTTAATGGAGACGTCCCATAAGCCACCCTTAATCCCTGGGTGGGATTAAGCCCAGGAAAGGCCGAGCCGGTGGGCGCCGACCCACAGCGCTTACCTTGTGTTTGCCTTTCATAGCACAGTTTTCTCGGTCCTGCTGTTTTGACCGCCAAGTCAGCCTCTGTACCAACCAAGCAAAGTCAATGTTGAGATTTTGACCTGGGGGGGAGCAGGGTGTGGAGGGGTGGGGCATCGCTCATGCACATGAGCCTGGAGGCTCCAGCCGCTCACCTTGCTCGGGAGGACTTCTGTTTTGGGGATTTCATTCAAGTTTACTGAATAAACTTGATCTCTGTTGAGAAAAAGACAGTAAATCAGATCACGGGAATGCAGAAAGACGGCACGCTGCTGCGTCTTATTTTTACAGATCTGCCTTGATTGTATTTTGCAGATCATCTGGATTTTCTCTGTCTCAAACAAAGCCCACAAAGAGTTCTTTTTCATTAGTGAGATACTTTTATACATCACTGCTGCCAGGGAGCGCAGAAAGCTTCCCTCTCCAGGCAAGGGTCAAGCCGCTACTTGGTATTAGCCCAGGCATATTCCTAATATTTGCTTGAATAATTCAAAGTTTAGAAAGAATAAAGATTTTGTTTCCCCTGCTGCGCTAGGAGAAAAGACCAGTGTGTGATTTGTTGATAGTGAAAATAAGGCAGCGCTGCCGAAGGCTTTAGCTCCGTGCTTGGCTCCTGGTACTCGGCACGGACTCTTCTCGGGAATATTTTGGCTACTTGCAATTCTTGGTCGCAGTCACACATTAGGTTCTCACGAGCTAGGCGCAGTCACGCAAGCACCGCGAGAGAAAAGAATTTTAATCTAACAAACCAACGAGAGGAAAATTACCTGCCAGCAATGTAAAGTGTGTCTCGAATTTTCAACATCAGCTGAAAGTCCAGCCTGTGCTGCGAGTCATTGCCTGAAGGGCGTCCTCTAAAAACCGGATATTGCCTAGAATCTGTGAGAGAAAATGGGCTAAACCATCAGTCAGGATTATGGAACTGAAGAATCAATAGACAGCATTGATTAGCTGTATAGACTACTTGTAGAAGGGTTTTAACTAAATTCCTCTCTTAAGGTCTTGAATATAAATGAATAAAAGATGGTGAACATCAGCAAACGGTCTTTTTCTTTTTACTGAGAATATATAACCTAGTTCTATGGGCTACCTGAGAAAAGCATCTAACAAAACAGTTCTATTTCCTCCAAACATCTGGAGATGATTCCAGATCAATTAATACACAAAACATTTCAAAGATATTTAAAGATCTCTTTGGAAAGGAACATGAAGAGAAGCTCCTTCCTAGGAAAGGACATGGCTTTGGGTGACTTACAGTGGTGGTCAACAGTGTTAAGGGGCTCACTGTCTTCAGGAAAGCTGACCGCCCCGGACTGGGAGACCCTCAGGAGCAGCGCGTAGCCACAGAGCAGGAGGAGCCTCATGGTGGGCCGGGAGGACATCAGAGCAGCCCCACCTCAGGAGTCCCACTTAGCTCTCTGCAACACAGAAGCAGCGTGGAAAGCTCTCTCAGCCAGGGTGGGACTCTTTCCCCACCTGTAACCAGCTCTCTTTGAAACACTTGCTCTTTCCAAAGCTCCTCTTGTACCAGGAAGGCTGGCACTGATGGACCGGGTGTCTCCAAAAGCACAGAAGGAAGATGGCAGAGTGCCTAGTACGGCCAAAGCATCTGGCGGGTGTGCTGACATCATAGGTGAATTTGCCAGAACTTTTGAGATAACTATGTATGTCATCCTAGGAAAATTACCAGGATCACAAACAGCAAGGCTGGCTGTTGACTTGGCAAAAAGATGGGCAAAGTTGGGATGAGAATTTTAATTAAACTCCAATCTGCATCCCTTTCCCCAGTCCTGAACTACATCCAACACAGCTTGCCTCTGCCCCCAGTAAAATGCCCAAGTTATCTGTACGCTATCCAGAGAGCCTCTGGCCCTGTCAGCCCGCCCAGGCTCTTTGCTCAAGCTTGTGCTGAGTTCCCATCCTGACCAAGCCTTGGCTCTAAATTCCCAAGGGGGGAGATTCCAGAAGCTGCACAAGACCACTGTGGGAACAAGGACAGAGTGACCTTGAATCAGGGTGAAAGAGAAGGCAAACAAATGCAATAATGTCAAGATGACCAACCAAGCAAAGCAGGGAGGGCCGAGGCAGCACAGCTGACCCCAGCCACTGGGGACATCGACATTGTTTCGTAAAACCATCTGGACATGAGCCCATACCCTAAGCACGCCCGGCCTGTTAGCTTTATTGAGCTTTAGTGCTGCAGGGAGCCTGAGGGACCACCCAGTCCAACCCCCTCAATTTTTCAGATGAGAAAGCTAAGAGCTAGAAAAATGAAGGGGCTCTGATGGATTTCATGGGGCTCGTGAGGGGAGCACTAGAAGCCAGACTCAATCAGCTGAGTCCCCTCTGTCCAGGGTCTTTCTACAAATTAGATGGAGAAAATAAATGATGGGGCTTTGTCTTTTCAAATACGCAATGTGACAGAAAGGTTTTGGGGGCTTGGATTTATTCATTGTCTTTTGAAATCATATTTCACAGATGAGAAATTGAACATTATAAATATGTACAGTTTATTGCACATCAATCCTTCAATCAGGCTAAAAAAAAGCATTAAGTTGCATAATGTTCACAATAAAAATCTGAAAGAACTTTAAGCACCATCAACTTATTAAAAAAGGAAATTAGGGAACTGCTGGGTCAAGGCGATGGCCATTTTTAGGGAATTGTTAACGTTTCACTTTGCAACAATACCAGCCTTTGCTTAGCCAAAACTGCCACTTCCAGCCCTTGTGCCATACAGTAAAACATTTAGCTTACTGGCAATCCCATAGACTTACGAGTTTTCAGGGAGAACATAAATAACAATAAAGAACTACTTCAGATTCTGGGGGGGATCCAGCCACTCAGCCTAGTACTCACTGTGGTCCTTTCGTCTTAAGACCACACATACAGGTGTATGCACACCTCAGCTAAGCATGATTTCTCTAACTGAAGTAGAAGTCAAGCACACGTGAGCTTTAGAGTCTTAGCTTTGCCAGGAGATGATAATATGGCAATACAATTTTTCTTAATGGGTGATTGGTCCAGTAGCAAGTTAATACGTTAAAATGCCTTTAGCACGGAGGACTGGAGCCTACGATAGCATCATTCTGTGCTCAGGCTGAAAGTGGAGTGTACTTCGAAGCCACCTGGTGTGCAAGGAACTCACCAGCCATCAGCTCATTGCATTGACCTGGGGACATTTCTCCAAGCTTGCTGATAATTAGTTCCCTATCTGCCCTTCTCCTCATGAAGAAGGGGAGCTACCACCCTGGTGTGGCGAGGCTCCTGAGCAAAGACAGTACCTATGTCTGAGCAGAGTGACTTTAAAGGCTGAGCAATTCTCCAAGTGAGGATGCAACAGAAGGAGGGAGAGAAAGGAGAACTCAGAAGAATTAAGCTGTGCTATGTGCACGGATCAGCTTCCCACGATGAAGGCAATCGTTCTGCACTCCAACCATGTACCGATAAAAATAAAAATTTAAAAAGTCTAGACAAGGCCTGGGAAAAATGTCCTAAAACATAAAGGCAATTTGGTTCATTTTTTCCCTCCCAAATGAAATAGTTATTTCAAAACAGTAATGGTTGATACTTAGAATAAACTTCACAATTTGCACCGATGTATCAAATTTGGAAAATGAAGTAAAAACCATCCCTAATCTATGTGCTGCGGTGCATCCTGACCCAAGCCCCACGCTAACTCCTGGCTAGTCTTTCTGTCATATGCACAGGCTCTCAGCCGCTACGAGAGGACGCCTTTCACTGCCTGCCACTTGCTGGAAGCAGCTTCTCCTCACCTGGCTTTCCCACGTGCATTTCATTTTTAAAGTCCTAGAAAGAGAAGCAGCGTCCAAGGGCCACACCTAGCCCTTAGCACTAGACCCTCTGCACCAATCCCAACTCCGTCCTCTGGATGGAAGGTGGCTGCATCTGTCTGCGGGGCAGCAGGAGAAAGATTCAGAACCGCTGTAAAGGAAATGGGGAAAGAGCTGATGAAAATGAAAACACAGCTCTCTGGATCTGCCTCTTCCGGGACCGGTAACTGAATGGCTTCCACCAGGAGGCAGACTCTCCGGAAGGGGAGTTCATCCTAGGCCTGGCTCCGGGCAGCGAAGCGGACTCAGTGCTGACTCGCTGGTGAGCTCTGAGCTCTGAGCTCCCAGCTCAGCTCTCATTTCTGTAACTCACGTATCTGACCCTGTGGAATGTACTTCTCCCCGCACCCGCCCTGCCAACCTAATCTGCCAAAAATAAAGCCCTGCTGCTAACTTCTTCCTGTCCCCACTTTATTAAACAAAACTTTATTAAACAAATTTACTGATTTGCAACGGAAGTTATAAGTGGAAGCATTTTACATTATACATGCATCCAAGTGAGATTGGGGAAGAACAAGCTGGAAATGCCTAGAGCAATGTTTTCTTTTCTTTTCTTTCTTTCTTTCTTTCTTTCTTTCTTTCTTTCTTTCTTTCTTTCTTTCTTCTTTCTTTTTCAGAACCGAGGATTGAACTCAGGCCCTTGTGCTTGCCAGGGAAGCGCTTATTCCACTGAGCCATCTCCCCGGCCCCTACAGCAATGTTTTCAGCAAGGAAATTATTTGTATGCCAAGTTCTCGGACCACAAGTGCCCACTCTAAGGAAGATCCTCAAACTTCCAGGGACTGGAAGACTAGTTCTGTTGAAGGAAGGCAAAGCGTTGGAAATGAACATGGAGCTCGGAGTGAAAAAAAAATGTGAATTCACACTTCCTTCCTTGGGCTGTCTATCTGCAGCCTCTGAACCTTGTTGACGTTCACCTACTTTCTGTAAGACTCAGTTTCCCCAAGTGCAGGATGGGAGTAGCTGTCCTTACCACCTCAGCATCTTCTTACTAGTCAATGACATAACATAAACTAGATAAAGCATTTAACCCAGAATCCTGCCCACCATTAATCTCTAGTGCCTCTCAGTAAAGAGCACTAGGACTCCCTGCCAGGTCTCCCTGGCACTGCGCAGTGAGGAAGCTTTAAGAAGCAACTTTCACTCTTTCGTCTTGTACAACTGTTTGCAAAGCGGTTCATGTACACTGTCATAACAATGACGAGGGGCTTGCGAGAGGACAAGGTATAGTTTCGTGCATGTAGGAGAAAAACTCTGGGAGGAACAACTTGCCATATGCAAGGTTACGGTAAAGGGCACTCCTAGGAGGTTAGGTTAGTCCTTCCAATTAAAATAGACATAGCTTTCCTTTCCTTTTCTTTCTTTTCTTTTCATATTTTATTTTTTAAAAAACTTTGTTTTTTTTTTTTTAATTTCTTTTTACTTATTTGGTCCTGCGTGTTGCTACACAGCTAAGATTCACAGGGATCTTCTTTCCTCCTCTCTCAGACACCCCAGTGATGGGAATGCACCACCACGCCTGGGTTTGGTAGCTGGCATGGCATGCGGTGCTGGGGATTGAACCTTGGTCCTTATGCTTGCTGGGCAGGTGCTTAGATGGCCGCATTATCTACCCAGCGCCCCTCCCTCTTTTGTATTTTATTCTTCTATATATTCCTGCTGTTAAATTTTAAATTTTAAAAAGAAGGAGAGAAATTCTTAAAAGGAGTTCAAAGGCTTCAGGGCCGGGATCCTTGGGAGATGGGTGGTCAAAGAGGGTGAGCCCCACACCCAGCCCTAGATGGCATCTTATGGATTTGCTGTTAGGCAAAGTTTATATGTCAGCATGCAGCTACAAGAAAAAGTTACAACTGAGGCAGTAGTCTCGAGCTTAGGACCCCCCAGGAGTCCTATGAGTAAGTTGAGGAGGCTCAGTTGGACCTCTGAAAGGTGGACGCTTGAGGGAAACCACGATGCCGAGTGAGCCTGACAGAAACCCGGCCCAATCTCCATCCAGCTGGGCTCCACACGGATGGAGCCATTTTCACCTGCTTTTGCCGCCTGGTAAGATAGATAAGGCGGGACATGTCCAGAGAAAGACACACCGTCCGGATAGCAACTTCTAAATGCAATACACAACACCCAACAGCAAGTGCTGAACATCCCAGCACTAAGAGAAAGGAAAAGCAGACAACAGGCCGAGGCCAGGGTTACCAAGTCCAGGCCAGGGTAGCCAGAAATGTGTTTTAAAAGGAACTGTTTTTATTTCATCTAAAAAAAAAATTGATAAGGTGGAAGATGTTGCTAATGAGCTGGAATCCACTGAAAAGAATGAAATAGAAATTCCACAACTAGAAATATAATGACTGAAGGTTCCTAGTAATGTATTTAGCAACACGTTGGTCTTCTCTCCAAAGACCAGTGCACTGCCAAAAAGATAATCTGAAGTTATTACAGAGCAACATGGACAGCTAAAAGATTGGAAAAACAATCAGAAAGCAAGAGCTCCGTGCCTACATCCACCTATCTACTTCTGTCTATCTGGACACACAGTGATACCTGGGGCAGGAGCTTCATCCTACCAC